TGAATTCGAAACCTTGAAGGATGAATATTTTTCCGTGATTCCCAAGTTAATAGTTTACCCGCCAAAATTTTCACTAGCCCGTAGGTGGTACCCGAGAGCGCTGAATTTGAATTGGCAAGGTTGAGGGTGGGCAGGGGGTCATTACCCCAAAATTTCAGCCTCCTAGACTCTGTTGTTCCCGAGATATTAACTTATCCGTGAAAAACTTTCACGAGGCCGTACGTGTTAATCGCGGATAAGGGAAGGCTGAATTTGAATGGGCAAGGTTGAGCGTAAGCAGGGGGTCATCAACCTAAAATTTTAGCCTCCTAGCCTCCGTGGTTTCCGAGATATTAATTTACCCGTAAAAAACTCTCACAGGGCCGTGCGTGTTACCCGCGGGTACGGGAAGGCTAAATTTGAATTTGCGGGGTCACACGTGGGTGGGGAACGCTCCCCCAAATTTTCAGCCTCCTAGCTTTTGTGGTTCCCGAGTTGAAGGTTGCGGACACACACACACAGACAACCCCGTGACAATATGGCTTTATACTGCTGTTACACAGCACAGAACGCATAAAAACAAAGAGGAAAATTTCCTATACCAGTCAGTGGTTACTTCTACTTCTATTTTCAAATACAGGGAATTCTAAAACACTGTTTAAATAAAGAATTTATAAAAACCTTTTCGATGCAGCGATCGAGGAGCTCAAAATCGTGTCCTTCAACAGCACTGGTGAATTCAGCAACAACTTCTTGCGGAAGATCGATCTTCTCCGGTGCACCTTCGTGAATGTGCTTGCTAAATATCTGCCAGATGTCAAAGTGTAATTCACTCAGTGAGGCATCATCATGCTGCAAAATTCATTCCTATTGCTATGCATCACTCAGATTCGCACAAATTTTATAAAACAATGACGGCAGTGTGTTCGCTGCATGGTAAAACTCTAGGTATCCCCTGATTCGGAAGTCTAGTGCTAACTAGGATGCTGTTATTAAATCCTCAAATACTAATTCTTAGATATGAAGTTGGCTGCCAAATTTCACAAGAATACTAAGGCGACCGGAAGAATTGGTGCACAGATCCCATGTTAGTGATACGAATGGGTGTAGTTACAAAAAGTACTTCTTAAAAAATAACAAGAAAGCGGCAATATATATTAGAAACCAGTCCTTTTATCCAGGGTTAAAAATTTTATCTGGAACAAACGACACAGACGTTAAGACTGCCAGCACAACGAATTTGCTGCTGTCTAGTCAACTAGACAATGCGACACAGGTCAAAATTGCCAACTTGTTGCAAAAGGAACATTTTAATAGCAAGGAAATGAAGTTGGCGGCTAATCCTTTCGCCTTGCCCAGTTGCCTTTCAATTCCATGTGATATGCAAACGTCCCCTCTCCTGACTTCAGCCCCCC